ACTTTCAGGTCCTTACACTGCTGGTGTTTTAAAATTTTTTTGAATGGGGTGCGGGGCAGTTAGGGGCCCTCCATGCTGCCCAGGCCCCTAACTGCCATGGCCCCTATATACCGCCTCCTCATGCTACTCCCAAGTCTAGAGTCTTTTGGGGTCCCTTACGGCCTCCATTGCTGCTGTCTCCATCGCCAACTCGCTCCCAGTGCACTTTCGGGTCTCTTCACACTGCTGGTTGTTAAATTTTTGACATGGGGTGCGGGCAGATTAGGGGGCCCCCATTGCTGCTGCCAGACATGAAATTGCCAGGGGGCCCCCGTACCGACTCCTATGCTGTGACTTTTGAAACAAGGTGAAATTTCAACCCACATATGTTAGACCCCTTTACGAACAGCTAAAGGGGGCCAACACAGATTTCCTGAGTTAAAAGCGGATAAAGGACTCCCTGTGTAATTAATGTTCACCCAAATTAGCTCTGTGTACCCTGCCTTGCTCCCCTTTTGAGGGGGCCCCGCTTTTCGTGAGTCGGCGGACTATGGGATAAATGGGGTCAAAGGGCCAGGGGGCCCCCGTCCCGCCTGTTCACGCTGATGCGGGTCCCCATTACCTGGGCCCCTTACGGCCCTCCCATTGCTTCCACTCTCCCAGTACCTTTTTGGGAAATCCCCTCCACTCCTGCTTTTGCCTTTTTGTCTAGGTTTGGCGATTAGGGGCCCTTCCCTAGGTGCCGCCGGGCCCCCATATCGCCCAGGGCCCCCCGTCCCTCCTGGTCACGCTGCGCTGAGCCCACAGTTGACCGGGTCCCTGTACGGCCCCCCATGCTTCCATCTCCCCATGTCCACTTTGAAATCTCCTCACCCCCTGCGGTTGCCATTTTGCATAGGTTGCGGCAATTACAGGGCCTTTCCCTAGGTCCACCAAGCCCCATATGGCATGGGCCCCCGTTACCGCCTGGTCACGCTGCTGCTGGGGCCCACAGTGTGACCTGGGTCCCTGTACGCTCTCCCATTGCATCCCACTTGCCATGTGCCATTTTAAGGTCTCCTACGCACTGCTGGTTTCCATTTGTCATAGATGCTGTATGGCCTCCCATTGCTGCTGCCTCCACGCCACCTGTTACATTTTTTTATGGCTCCAAACACTGGTTTTGGCCGTGAGACTGGACAAATGAGTGAAGTGTGTTTGTGATTCTTAAGGATCGGACGTGCACTTCATCTGCCATGTCCATACTCGAGAGACCCGAGTATATTTCTCTTCCCCAGCAGACTCCATAGGGGCATTTTTAAAATTAACGGTACACGTGGTTCCTGTCACTAATATTAAGTCTCTTGAAAGCCTAGAAAAACACCTTTTTTTAAGATAAATATCACAGGAATTTATTCGACTCGAATGATATTGTCACGAATTGCCGAATCAGTCGAATCGATTTTTGCATTTCTGTTCGGCTCATCTATCGGTTCGCTCAGTTCTCAGTGCTCAGTGAGCAGAGAGCTGGTCACTATCAGTCACTGCTCTCAGCTCTGTCCCCCTCCCGCGTTCACTGGAGCACTGGGCTGTGGAAGGGGTGAGAGCGGCTGACTCAGGGTCTCAGAGGATCACTTAGAGGTTGAGCCAGGTGCCAGTCCAAACATATGGGTTGATCCTGACTTTAAAGTCAGGATGTTTCCCCAGCCTGGACCGGTTGAGGGATGTCAGCCAACAGCAGACTTTAGCCCACTGTCGGCTGAAAATTGGCCGCGGGAGTGCAGAACAAATTGCACTCCTGTAATCCACAGGAGAAATATATAGCTAAAAGAGCTTTGGCTGTACTTCTCCTTTTACCACTTGCCTACTGGGCACTATTACCCCCTTCCTGCCCAAGCCAATTTTCAGCTTTCAATGACAATTGCGTGGTCACGCAACACTGTACCCATATGAAACTTTTAGCATTTTTTTTTTTTTTTTTTTTTTATTCACACAAATAGAGTTTTCTTTTGGTGGAATTTAATCACCACTGGGTTTTTTATGTTTTGCACTATAAATGAAAAAAGACCAAAAATTAAAAAAAAAAAATTTTCTTTGTTTCTATGATCAGCTTTTGCAAGCAGGTAATTTTTCTCCTTCACTGATGTGTGTTGATGAGGCTTCACGGATAGGCACTGATAGACAGCACTGATGGGCATTGACAGGCAGCACTGATGGGCACTGATGGGCACTGATGAGACCGCACTGATAGGCAGCACTGATAGGCTACACTGATGAGGCGGCACTGGTGGACATTGATGAGGAGGCACTGATGAGGCTGCACTAATGTGCAGTACTGATAAGCGGCAATGATGGGCAGTGATAGGTGGCACTAATGGGCACTAATAGGCAGCACTGAAGGGCACTGACTGGTGGGACTGATGGGCACAAATTGGCAGCACTGACGGGCACAGATTGGCAGCACTGCTGAGCACTGATGGACAGCACTGTTAAGCACTGATGGGCACTTTTGGGGCTGCACTATTAATCAGGGCACTGATAATCAGTGTAGATTAATCATTTCACAGTTTCCAGTTATTGGCAGTACTTTCCTCACGCTGTGACAGCTTGAGGAAAGTACTGCCGATAACCGGCAGGTTTATTTACATGGTGGTCAGCTGTGATTGGACACAGCTGATCACGTGGTAAAAGGCTGCTGTGATTGACCTTTTACCGTGTCATGTGATCAACTGTGTCCAAAGGACACAGCGATCACAGACAGTGCAGGTAAGTGCTGCTAGGGGCGAGTTCTGGGAGGACATTATATGATGTCCTCTTAGAACTGGATAACCACGCTGTGTACATCATTCAGCTATAGCACGGTCAAGATGTGATTAATAAATGAAATCATCATTTAAAAACTGACTTTTGTATTGACTTGGGTTACCTTTATGTAATATTAAAATTTTCTTGATGATCTGAATCATTTAAGTGTGACAAAATATGCAAACAAAATCAGAAAGGGACAAATACTTTTTCACTGCACTGTATGTATTTATCTTTGCTGATTCACTGGTAGGCAATCAGATATTCCCTAGATCAACAATCCCTGGTGTTATTACCTCTAAATATTAATATCCAGATATACTTTGTTAATTTAGGAATACAGCCAGACTTTTTTTAAAACAATATACTGAGCTATCCAGAACCAGACTATTCAACATTTTCATAGCTTTTACTGTGAAGAAGTCTTTCCACATTTGGAGAATACATTTCTTTTCCTCCAGACATAAAGAGTGCCCCCTTGTCCTCTGTGATGACCTCAGGGTGACTAACTCTACACCGAGTTCACTATATGAACCACTGATGTATTTATACATGTTGATCGTATCCCCCCTTAATCTCCTCTTCTCAAGAGAGAATAAATTCATTTCTTCTAATCTTTCCTCATAGCTGAGCTCCTCCATGCCTCGTATTAGTTTGGTTGCCCTTCTCTGCACTTCCTCCAATTCTCTAATATCCTTCTTGTGAGCTGGTGCCCAAAACTGAACTGCATATTCCAGATGAGGTCTTACTAATGATTTGTACAGGGGTAATATGATATCTCTCTCTCTGGAGTCTATACCTCTTTTTAATACAAGAGAGGATTTTGCTCGCTTTAGAAACCACAGCTTGGCATTGCCATTATTAAGCTTGTGATCTACCAGAACTCCCAGATCCTTCTCCACCATTGATTCCCCCAGTTGTACCCCCCTAGTATGTATGATGCATGCATATTCTTAGCCCCCAAGTGCAGAACCTTACATTTATCAACATTAAATCTCATTTGCCACATAGTTGCCCAATTAAACAGTGCATTGAGGTCGGCTTGTAAATTGGAGACATCCTGTAAGGACATTATTCCACTGCACAGCTTGGTGTCATCTGCAAAGACTGAAATGGTATTTTTAATCCCAGACCCTATATCATTTATAAATATATTAAAAAGTAAGGGTCCCAACACTGAACCTTGGGGTACACCACTGACAACCCTAGACCATTCAGAGTATGAATCATTAACCACTACTCTCTGAATACGATCTTTTATCCAGTTTTCTATCCATTTACATACAGATTTTTCCAAGCCTGTAGACTTTACCTTACACATTAGCTGTGTGTGGGGAACTGTGTCAAACGCTTTAGTAAAATCCAAGCATGCCACGTCCACAGCCACTCCTTTATTTAAGGTTTCACTTACCTCCTCACAAAAAGAAATCAGATTTGTTTTACAACTTCTGTCTTTCATGAATCCATGCTGCCTGTTATTTAACATTTATTTATCTTCCCGTCTGGCCCATGTCGATAAACGGCCAGACGGGAGAGCTGCCAATGCGGATGGACATTTCTAAATGTCCCCCCACATCCATTGGCTGTACATGCTCCCTGGGAGAGTGTGGCACCGCAATCCCGTGCCCGCTGTGTCCTCCAGACACAGCAGAACACAGTTTGCTGTGTGAGGTTCAATTCATGTGATAACTGATTGGCCAATCAGTGAAACACATGAACTGTAGTAAACAATATGTCACTTCCTGACATCATTGCTTACTACTTGTGACAGAGGTCACATGGTACAAGGCTATTCACAACAGCCTAGTACCATGTGACAAGCTTTGACCAATCACAGCTCCCACAGTATTTCTCAATGGCTGCAGGAATGCAGCCAGAGAGAAGGAAAAAAATTATTCCTTTTACAGCCTTTATGGGTGTAAAAGCAATCAGTGTGAAAAAAGAAAAAAAAAAATCTTCATCACCCCCCCACAAGTAGTACAGTGTTGCTATGCTGACACTGTACTGCTAGGGTGACAGTATGTTAAAAAAAAAAAAAAAAACATAAATAATAATATAAAAAAAAAATAAAAATATAAAAAAAAATTATAATTTTTGGTTATAAACTAATATGGGTTACTTTTTTTTACTAAAAAGATAGATGAATACATTTTGGCCAATATTTATGAAGAAAAAGATTATTTATATGCAAAATTTTATAAGAAAAACACTTTTTTAAAAAACTTTTTGGACTTTTTCATTTATATAGCACCAAAATAAAAATCCCAGTGGTGAATAAATACCACCAAAATAAAGTTTTATCTGTCTCAAAAAATGCTAAAAAAATTCATATGGGTACAGTGTTGCATGACCGCGCAATTGTCATTTAAAGTGTGATAGCACTGAAAGCTGAAAATTGGCCTGGACTGGAAGGGGGTGAAAGTGTCCAGACTTGAAGTGGTTAAAATATTTTTTTCTAGCAAAAACTCATCTACCTATGTGGTTCTTTTATTAAACTCTTGAAAATCTGTGAAAATCATTTTGCTATGTTTCCAGAAATGCATATAACATACATTAATATGTTTATATATGAATAATTCACAGACATGTTTCTTTCCTGCACTAAAGAAAAAGGCCATTTTGATCACCAATGTACAGTTTTGAAATCCAGCTTGAACAGTGATTCTGAGTATAAACATTCTACCAGAATTTAAAGTGCTGGTATTGTTCTGGATAATGCTGAATGCCATTTTCCCTAATTATCTTGGAGCACAAGATACACACTAATGACTTGTGTCCAGTAAAAACCTATGCCCCTTTGGATGTCAACAATAAACATTTTTGAATAGTGATGAGACAATTTAGAAACCATTACCTTGATTCCTAAATTGTGTGATTTTCTACAGTTCAGACAACTCTACATGCAAATATTCTGGAGAATCCAGAGTGATGAATTGGCGATTCTCCTGATTCAGTCATCCTTATTACTGAGTTATAAATAATGTACATATTGGAAAAGGTACCAAGAACGCGAACACTTGTTTTTTTCCATTTGCACATTTTATCAATGCTTCTCGTTAAACCTGAACTCAAAATAACAATTCCTATTTCTGCTTGCTCATCTACAAGAGCTAAAAAGTCTTTCATTATGAAAAAAAAACATGATTTATTTTGCTTTTTTTGTTTTGTTTTGTTTCTGTGTGTCCCTAGTATTAGACTACCAAACACACACATACTGCTAGACCAACTTGTACTTGGTTCTTGCCTACTTTAAACTATCAGTTGTACATGTAAAACATTATTCGTCTAACCATTTGCCTATCGGGCACTTTCACGCTTTTCCTGCTCAGGCCAATTTTCAGCTTTCAATGCTGTCACACTTTTGCGCAGTTATGCAACACTGCACACGTATGAAATTGTTATAATTTTTTTGAGACATATAGAGCTTTCTTTTGGTGGTATTTAATCACTACTGGGTTTTTATTTTTTGCTAAACAAACGAAAAAAGACCAAACTTTTGGAAAAAAAAAAAAATTTTCTTAGTTTTTGTTATAAACTTTTGCAAACAGGTAATTTTTTTTCCTTCACTGATGTGCGCTGCTGCTGCACTGATGGGCACTGATATGCAGCAATGGTGGGCACTGAAAGACTCCACTGATGGATACTGATGAGGCTGCACTGATAGTCAGCACTCATGGGTACTGATAGGCTGCACTGATGGGCACTGACGAGGAGGCACTGATGAGGCTGTACTGATATGGCAAACTGATAGGCAACACTGATAGGCACTGAAGGTCACAGATAGGTGGCACTGACTGGCGGCACTGATATACACTGACTGACTGCACTGATGGACACTGACTGGTGGCACTGATGATCACTGGCTGGCGGCATTGATGGACACTGACTGGCGGCACTGATGGTCACTGGCAGCACTAATGGACACTGACTGGCAGCACTGATGGAACCTATTGAGACTGAACTGATGGACACTGTTGGGGCTGGGGCTGCACTGGACTGCCTCTGCCTCTAACCTGCTATTACCGTCTCTTCTCTTTCCCCATGCTGTGATAGCGTGAGGAATGTGCAGCCGATAACCAGCAAATGTGTTTACATTGTGATCAGCTGTGTCATTGGACACAGCTGATCACATAGTAAAAGGCCGCTGTGGTTGGCCCTTTACTATGTCATGTGATCAGCTATGTCCGACGGACACAACAATCACAGAGCTCGCCAGGTGCATGATCCAGGGGGCAAGCAAGGGGCATGCTTCTGGAGGATGTCATATGACGCCCTCCCAGAACTAGACGACCGCGCTGTAGCCGTCATTTGGCTATAGTATAGTTAAGTGGTTAAAGAATGTAAAATACAAACAATAGGAGGAAAACCTGTCATGAGGGAAACTCAAAGGCTGCCATTGCTTACTCGTTTTTAAAGCTGCTTTTGTCTCTCTGGATCTAACATTTCTGTCAGTACAATTATACAGTCAGGATTCAAGATAGTCAGGTACTTAGAATTTTTTAAAATGGCAGCCTACATATTACTCTCAGTACGTTTTTCCTTTAATCTGCAATTACTATCATTGTTTTCTTGGAGTTTAAAAGTGTATGTTTTATTGTAATAATTTTTTTGTAACATTAAAGCTGAACTCCAGGTAAACATCTAAATACTAAGATACACATAAGAAAACCGTTTGTGTTTCTGTCCATTCATTTCTGAGAGTTACACAGCCCTGCCAGACACCACAACCAGGTGGATGACATCACTTTTTCTGTTAAGCAGGACATAGACGATACGAAAATCCGAACAAAAATTTAAAATATTTTTTGTTTCATTAGTGTGCCTGCTGCGACTTGTGATTTGCATGCCACAATCGAAAGTGCCTGATCCAACATGATGGATTTTTATATGAAAAACAACCAATTGATGGCACAATCGTTTTGAGCTATTTTCAGTTTTTGACAGAACTTTCGGATTTTGAGTCTATGGCCTGCCTTACAGTTATAGAATGAATACAGTGGTGTTATCTCTCCTCCACCATAGTCTGCTGATTGTATAATGAGGGATTAGCAGGAGATCGCTGAGGTCTTGGCTCACTCTGCTCTCTCCTATGAGCTATGTTCAAAATGCACTGCCTTTGCAACTTGCTGCAGGTGCCAAAACATTGTTAAGGGTACCCAAATGCAGATCTCAAATTCAGTGCATTTGGCAGGCACACAGGTGGCACGATACTGCAGTACCCATGTGATTTGGTGTGGTGCATTTTTCAAAAGTAGTGCATGCACTACTTTTTGTATATTGCAAATGTGATTTAAAGCCCAATCAAATTAAATGGGCACCACCTGCCTGGAGGATGTTTGCATGTTCTCCCTGTGCCTGCGTGGGTTTCTTCCGGGTCCTCCAGTTTCCTCCCACACAAAGACATGCTGGTAGGTTAATGGGATCCTGTCTAAATTGGCCCCTAGTATGTGTTTGTATGAATGTAAGTTAGGGACCTTAGATTGTACGCTCCTTAAGGGTTAGGGACTGATGTTAATATACAATATATGTAAACTGCTATGTAAATTGATGGAGCTATTTTAAGTACCTATATAATAAATAATAAATAAATAAATATAAATGGACTGCCAAACTGCACTGCAGGGGGAATGCACAGGAATCCCACAGGAATGTGATTTTCGCAACAGAAAAAAATTAATGTGTTTCGGGAGCCAAACACACTCCCCCTTCATCAGGGTTCAGGAATTTTGGCTGTGCTTAACCACTTGCCTACTAGGCACTTTTACACCCCCCTCCTGCCCAGGCCAATTTTCTGTACCCACATAAAATTTTTTATCATTTTTTTCACACAAAATAGAGCTTTCTTTTGGTGGTGTTTAATCACCACTGGGTGTTTTATTTTTTGCACTCTAAACAAAAAAAGAGCGAAAATTTTGAAAAAAAAAGTTTGCTTTGTTTCTATTATAAAATTTGCAAACAGGTATTTTTTCTCCTTCACTGATGTGTGTTGATGAGGCTGCACTAATAGGCAGCACTGATGGGCACTGATAGGCTGCACTGATGAGGTGGCACTGTGATGGGCATTGATGAGGAGGCACTGATGATGGTGCACTGAAATGCCCCGGCCGGCACTGATAGGCAGCAAAGATGGGTATTGATAGATAGCACTAAAGGGCACTGATAGGCAGAACTGACGGGCACAGATTTACAGCATTGCTGGGGAGCAGTACTGTTGGGAACTGATGGGCAGCACTGCTGAGTATCTCTGTTGGGCACTGATGGGCAGCACTGCTGGGCACTTTTGGCGCTGCACTGATAATCAGGGCACTGATAATTAGTGCCCTGATTATCAGTGCAGATGTCTGCTTTGACAGTTGCCAGTTACCAGCAGTACTGCTGATAACTAGCAAGTGTATTTACATAGTGGTCAGCTATAATTGGACACAGCTGTTCAAGTGACAAAAGGCAGCTGTGATTGGCCTTTTACCATGTCATGTGATCAGCTGTGTCCAAAGGACACAGCAATCACAGACAGCGCCGGGGATGTGCGCCCCGCCTGGGGGCTCGGATGGGGGGAAACACTTTCTGGGAGGATGTCCAATATGATGCCCTTCCAGAACGGACTACCATGCTATTGAAAAAACATTTTGGTAAATGCAGCCAAAAGGGCAAGTGGCACTGAAGAGAAAAACAGCAAGAAACTGGCCAAAACCTGAGCCACATTGGCTAGCTACAGTTCATGGCCGAAATTGTTGGCACCCTTGATATTTTTCCTGAAAATCAAGTATTTCACACAAAAAAGGTATTGCATTAACACATGTTTTGCTATACACATGTTTATTCCCTTTGTATGTATTGGAACAAATATAAAAACAGAGGGCAGAAAAGCAAATATGACATAATGTCACACACAAAACCCCAAAAAATGGGCTGGACAAAAGTATTGGCCACCCTTAACTTAATATTTGGTTGCACACCCTTTGGAAAAACATAACTGAAATCAGTCGCTTCCTTATAACATCAATAAGCTTCTGACACCTCTCACCCGGAATTTTGGGACCCATCTTCCTTTTTGCAAACAGCTCCAGGTCTCTCTTATTGGAAGGACACCTTTTTCCAACTGCAATTTTTATGATCTCTCTTCCACAGGTGTTCAATGGGATTTAGATCTGGGCTCATTGCTGGCCACTTCAGAACTCTCCAGCGCTTCTTTGCCATCCATTTCTGAGTGCTTTTTGTCGTATGTTTGGGGTCATTGTCCTGCTGGAAGACCAGGATCTTGGACGCAAACCCAGCTTTCTGACACTGGGCCCTACAGTGCGACCCGCCCCCCCCAATTGGGCCCTTAAATCCTTTG